TGCCACTTGGAGCAAAATTAACCTCTAACCTTCCCTGGCTTTAGCTGTCGAGGTACTACTACATCGAGTTGTTACTGTGATCCTACCAATTAAGCAGCGCAGAAATTAGGATTTCTATTTCAATAATATCTTTTGCAATTAATAAAACACATCCCGTCTCAGGTTCAAAAGCTTGAAAAAATGTTTTTTCCCCCACAAAATAAATTAAAAAAAAAGTTTTGGGGAAAAAAAGTATCTTTGGGTGTGCGGGGGCGGACTTTACTGGTGAATTCTGGGAGTTTCTATCCCTCCGCACGGTCCGTGCCGAGCTGGTGGCCAGGAGGGTGCTGGGGTCACGCAGGCTGCTGACGCTGCCCCCCAGGCAAGGCGTCAGCAGCAGGAGCAGAAACGCTGCCGGCAAGGCAGCGGGAGAGGAGGATTCCCCTGCTCCTTGTCGGGGCAACCCAGTGTAACGCACAGCTGTCTGAGCACAGGATACTCATCTTGGTTCCTCTTCTGTACCCAGCTGCTGGTTTTTGTAAGAGCTGAAGAAACTGAATTATCTCTGAGACCTTTCCTATCTTCTCTCAGATTTGGACAAAACTGACCATGAACCTCAAAACTAGCATGAGAGGGCTGGCCAGCAGAGCCACAAAGGCTCTGCCTGCTTTAGAGGTCAGGCAAAAGGGAAACCTTATGCGAGTCAACATTACAAACCTTAAGTCGGTGCCACAAATAGGATCTCAGCACTTCTGAAGGATTTTATCTTCCACTTTCTTCTGCAGCAAAACCAGTGCAGAGCATCCAAGTATTTCAGCAGAATGAATTTCCTTTTTTCCTCTCGTTTCTAAACCTATTTATAAGCAATCAAGAACAAAATCAACTGTAGTCTTAGAGATTAAAACAGAAGTTTCTTGACAATGAACTATCGGACTTCAAGTAACCAAATCTTGCACTGTTTTTTTAATTGGTCTCTAAATCTTTTGGGGGACTTTAGACAAAAATTACTACAACCACATCAGCAAATAGGCAAGTGACACTGGTTCCAGCAACCAAATCCCTGCCTGGAGGAGGGGATCCAGTGCAGCACTAATGCTGACAAGCGGAAAGAAAAAAAGTGTAACCCCACCCTGTCAGATGAAAGCCCATAGCACCCAAAGCTAAGGAATGATCTTTGTAACACCAGGAAGAAGCTTTTCTAAGGTAAAATTGAGCCACTTTGGTCTCTGCAAGGGAAGTGAAGCCAGGAGTTAACTGATGAGGCGACCAGAGAAAAGACTGGTTAGTGCAGCAGCGCTCTCAGAGAAGCAGCCAACGCTCAGGCCATTTTAGTCTATCTGTGGCTGCTGCAGCACCAAGATGCTGTGTCCTGCATCCGGCACGCAGTGCCATGCTCCATCGCTCTCCCTGCCCTGAGGCCAGGGAGGATTTCTTCGTGCTGGCTTGTCAGCCTGTCCCGGGGAAGCAATCTCTTCCCTGGCGCAAGCCGTGAAGGCTTCATCGCCGCTGGGGAAGTGCAGATATGGGCAAATTTTGCCTGAAGCGCAGTTTGTCGGAAACTTTCCTACTGACACGCCCACCACCTCCCCGCCTCTGCGCTGGGGTGGGCGCGCGGGTGCCGATGCCATTCCTGGCCCTGTAACCCAGGGAGTTGGCAGGCACCTACCGCTTGCCCACAGAAACCACCACCACCGGGCAACTTCAAATCTCTCCATCACTCCCACTTGCTTCTCCCAAATAATCCAACATCTTGTGGCCCCCCTCCTTTCCCAGCCCCCCCCCAGCTATTTCAAAGTCGAGGCATGCCATGCCAGTCGGGCAGGCTGTCTCCTCCTCGGCACAGTGCAGAAGCCCGGCACAGATCTGCCTCCAGAAAGCAGGACGTGGGGAGGGGGATACTGGGAGCCACGTAAGCTCTGCAGCCTAACCAACCAGCACCAAACTGGGGTTGCAGGTTGCATGTCTAGGCCGGTACACCCTCCGGCAAGTCACGTCTCTGTTCGCTCCCGCTTCATCTTTTGCTCTCTGAATCACAAGCTCTTCAGGGCAAGAAGCCCTCCCACAGCCCTCCCTAACGATGACAAGGACCCGATGGCCAGCAACAAGTCACAGCCACGACTCCCCTGTCCCATGCAATGCTGGGGCTCTTTCTAGCCTGTGGCTTCTGCCAAGTGATCTGGTTTTTTGCTCTTTTCTGCTTTAAGGGATCATGCTCGGCCAGCTTACCTCCCAGGTCAGCCACCACAGGCCTGCAGGGTGGCCTGCCCTGGTGCAAGGGCATCACTGGAAACATGTGCCCAGGGGCGGAGGACTGGCAGAGGTAACTCAGAGATCAGCTGTAACGTCAACCCACTCTTCAGCGTGGGCCTACGTGGTGTCTCCACCGTGGGACTAACGAGTAAACACCACCCTCGTGTGAACAGCAGAGCAGCTACACACACAGCTACAGGCAGGAACAACTTTCAGCTGAGCATCGCTCTGGATGTGCCGTCTGTCTGGACGATCCCCTGTGATGCGAAGGCTCTGCTCTAAGTCTTGCTCAGTCACCAAAACCTCCTGAGCGATCAGAACGTTGGGGAACCTAAACCAAACAATGGAAGCCGTGAGATAGACCTCCTTGCTCCTTATTCTGATGAAAAGGCTTCAATATGGTCCCCGCTTTCCTTACCTAAGGCCTCCTAGCTGCCCCGAGGTGTGCCTCCCCAGCATGAGCTACCGAAGACCTGCCAGCTAACCCCTTCTTCGAGGGAGCTTGTAACGACTCCACAAAGCTGCACCGAACACTGTGCAGAAGAAGAATGAGGTGACTCCGATAGGGCAGCAGGGGAGAAAGCACACGCCTGTCATCTGGCTGAGTGAACGGCCAGCGCTCCCACGGCCACCGCCGAGCCCCTGGGTGACCCTTACAGGCCACCCGCAGGCCCCCAGGCAGAGGAGCCGATCGATCGATACCTACACCCTCTCGGCAGGAGTTAGGCGCAGGGAGGACAGGCCAGTGAGCTCCAGTTTAAACAAATGGCCTGCATTGCTATGGAAACCTCAAGGATGGAAAAGCAGCCCTTTGGAAACACAACACAGTGAGGCTGATTTCATATCCATCCTGAAAAGGTTTGTGACCAGAAAAGGCAAAGTGGGCGTTAAATGCTTTTTAGCCAAGTCAATAGTGGCAGAGCTTGAGAAGGAGACGCAGCACCCATCCTACCTCTTCTATCGCAAAGCCCAGGAGAACAGTGTTCTCTACTTTGCCAATACTATGGTATGAAATTCTGGTTTCTTAACCCCTTCCTGGCACCTCGTCGCCTTCCACATTACTACGGTAGCTATAAATTACTGTAGGTAGCTATACTAAGCCCATCAGGCATGACATGTGGGAAATACACAGCTAGGAATTAATCTGACACAAGAGGAATAAAATTATCTACAGCCTTAAAGTTAATCAGAACTGAAAATCCTAAAGAGTTGGGGTTTCATTTGTTTTCTTTTTTTTAAAAAAAAGAAATACAGCAGAGGAGTAACAGAGCTTTGCTACTGATTTTAAATGGCACGTGCTCAGCTCAACCTGGTGCGGCCCAACAGTGTAGTATTCAGTGAGATGTACTCTGCCCTCATCAAGAGTTTGTGCTTGAATATTCAAGTATTCTGTGATTAAATGATTACTGCAAGTAGTATGGAGTCAGAGCAGTTCCTAACACCAGTGTGGTGAATTAATAATGTTATCATTTATGTAGGTGTTAAATAAATGAATGGTTACGTATTTTTGATGGAACCAATCGCCCTTTTTTCAGAACGGCTCCATCCTGCACGTTCCCTCGGGGTGGCAGGCCACCATCGAACCTTACCAAAGACAGCTTCCGTTCATCTGCTCCCTGTCATCAAGCCTGAGGGCCGTTATATTTCGGAAAATGGGATGGCTATTTTGGAAAAGAGAATCTTAACTGGGGTAAAAAAAGTAGAGTCAATCTGTTTGAAAGCCACAGACCATGAACAGTTTTGAGGAATGCAGCTTTTCAGCTTTTCTTGGAGGAGACACACATACTCTGCTGAAAAACAACATTTCAGAATGAAGAAACAGGAAGAAAGTAAACCCCCAGTGTGTGTCTTCTACGCAAAAAGAATATTGTCACACCTGCAGCAGGGAGCATGCGAAAGGTAATGAGATAAATATGAACAAACAACAAACGAGTGAGAGGGGGAAAGGAAAAGGCTACGACAGGCAGTTTGGGAGACACAGGAAGAACACAGGGAATATGAAAAATAACATTCAGAAGTGCTCTGTAGGCAAAGCAGCTCTTAGCATCTGCTCCGCTACCTCATACGGACAGACTGCTTCATGCTTAGATTGGTGAGTCTGGTGATAACAGCAAGAATAAAACCCCCAGGCAACACTCCCCCCCGCCCCCCGCCAAATCCTTTGTGTACATACAAACCTTTGCTTTCAGATAAACAATATATTTTACTTTCATGTCATGAATTCTGAATTTAAACCTTTTTTTTGAAAAGGTGTTGGCTGGGAACATTGTACTGTTAAGACAGTCCAGGGAAGGAGGAAAGCCTTATAACTGGAAAATAAATCTTTTCGTTAGCATTTTTAGAAATATTATTTTCAAATCCATTTAACTAGGGGAAAGGTTGCTGCAGCTATCTTTAAGAATGGAATCTAACTATATATTTACCATTCTAAATACGTTACCCTCTGCACTTGACTCCAACAGCAGAAACAGCTGAATACTAGCACTGAAAATTTTCAGGTTGCCCTGGTCTCCAGTGAAAATCTTTAGGTGCCATGAGAACACAACCAGGCTCACGACTTCTTAAATCTCGTTTTTGCCCACATCCGTCTTGAGAACTGTAAGAGCGCTCGAAGCATTCAGGAACAAATTTCTACCTACAGGAAAAATGTCCCTGCAGAAGAAGCTCTCCTGAGGAGATGTGGGCTGGAATCTCCTCTGCTCTAAGCCATTTCCTGCTGTCCTGGCAGGCAGGAGGTTGCAATCCGCCGCCACCTGGCTAGGTGACTTTTTTTGGGAGGAGGTGGGGGAGGAAGGAAGGACCCACAAGTTCCCAGCTGACAAAGAAATTCGACCTCTACACCAACTGCTCCCCAGCGGGAGGAATGATGCCATGTGCCTTCTCTCCACTGTCCACCAGATTTGGATATAAGCAGCAGCACGGTAGACACGTGAGAGAGAGCAAACATAGTAGACACCAGCAATAAAAGGGTATTGCCCCAACAGTGCTCCATGGGATACAGCATTTCTCTTACAAATAATTTTGTTGTTGGGGAGGAAGCCTCGGTCTTCTCCCAGACCAAAAGAAGTAAAGAAACTAAACCACAATTTGCTAACATTATAAACTGAAACCAAAAAGGTAAGTGAAAAACTATTCTTCCGCAACAGTATGAGTCTCCAGGGCCCTACCACGTGTCACAGCTTCATTGCATTCAAATGAGTTGCAAGTTCCATAGGCTGAGGTTTGGGGGTTTAAAAGTTTTCCTCTAGTCCCCATCTCCTACTCTCTCTTGCAGCATGACTATTGTTAATACAGTGTAAAAAAATGCAGCTTGTATGAACTGACAAAGACTAAAGCATTGCCTTGTCAGAATACCTGGAGAAATTAGCACCGCCCCTTCGTTAAAGAAAACCACTCTGTCAGGACTGCCAAACCTCGGCATGCATACGGGGATGCACACAAAGCTCCAGTTACCCAAAGAAAGTAAATGTGAAAGTAAGCGTCTGCCTCCTTCAACGCTAATTCTCAGGAGATACATCACAGAGCCCAGATCCTAGATTCAAATGCAAGGAATGAACATCAAATATACTCCAAAAACGTATTTCTATACAAACTGGGATGAAAGTGAAGACACCATTAGATAACAAAGTCAGTTTTCTAATATTCATTCTTTTTAGAATAGCAAGCTATTTCAAAAGCTGTACAGTGCTTTAGGTGGAGAAGCTGCTTCTAGAGTGGTTTGATGCAGAAAGGAAATTATTATGCCCAGTTTCAGAGCACAGGGATTGAAATGGCTCAACAGTCTGTCCTTTAGGCCATCAATACCGTTAAAACAGGCATAATTGAGTATGAATAACTTGACTGCTCTCATCAAATAGAAATTTTGAACTACAGCAAATGCTGGCTAAGAGAAGATAGACATTTTGTAAACACTGACATATTCTTGCACTGAAGAGGGACACCAGCTTGCTTAACAATGTTAATGCATTACACGGCATAGAGTAGCTACCCTTGCTTAGACCCTAATTCAGGCAGAAAGTGAAGACACACCAAACCTATGTTCTGATCCAGTACAGTGGATGCCATTTAGCTGCAGTGAGAACTTAACGCCATAGGCAGGATACCTGACTTAACATCCAGAGAGCAGACACCAGCTCACTGGTTCCCACCAAGAGGTGGGACGTACCTAGGGCAGGCAAACCCGAAGAATTCCAGCAAGTCAACCTAGAATCAGGTCCAAGCTGCTGACTGCTGCTCTGTAACAGCAGAGGGTCAAGAGAGAACCCACCAAGTAATATTCTTTAATGCAATACGCATTGACCTAGGAGCAGCAGCACCAGAGTGAGTGCTGCACCTAGTGCTACTACACTCTATTTAGTGTAGCTTTGCAATTTACTTACATCATGATCATAACTTGGGTCCAAAACCTTGCACCAGTTCTTCTGGGTATCAAATTTGGCAGCATAAGCCTGATTTTTAGAGATGCTGACATTTCCTGTCTCACCTGAAATCACTGGAAGCCACAACTTAGTTGTGCTAAAAAGAAACACAAAAAAGAAACTAAAAATTTACTAGCAAATTCTGAAAGTAATGCTTTTCATCTCTTTGTGTCTGTTTTCCTGCCTACGACGCAGAGGTAACAGTTTTAAGCCAGCAGGGACGGAGGACTGTTAATATGCAAGCAATGGGCAGCTTCGACCTGGCCGATAAAGAAAGGCTCGTAGCTAAGGTCTCTCCGTTGTTTGCGTTTGTCTTGCCTACATGGATGAGCAGTTAGGATAAAGTCTGACCACAGAGCGCATAGGAGAAGGGAGTCTTGACCCTCTGTTCTGCTAGCCACTAGTATAATTCAAGTAAGTTATATAAATAATCAAACTGGTTGCTTCATTGGAAAAGACTTTGCAACCTACAAATAAAAAGCAATGCACTACCCCTTGGTGAAGTGAGTAATACTCAGAGCTCATCGTGAAGCACAGCTTTCTCATTTCTGTACACACAGCACACATACAGCTGGCTTTACATAAAAGAATCCTGTCTTGTCATTACTTAGAGCACAGATCACTACTTGGGGGAAAAGGGGAGGCAAGAGAAGGTGCAAAAATAACTGCTCACTGAATCTTTCTGCTCCAGTCGGTGCCCTCAGATCTTTCATGTGCTCTGTGTATTAAAGAATGATCACTGTTTTTTTTCCACAAACTTAAAGCCTGTAATTTAGTATCATCTAATAGCATATCACTTCTGAAAAAAAAAAAAAAATAGCACTGTCCACATAACACAGGCAGCTTTTGATCATCAAAAAGATCTTCATTACATCGATTCTTTTCCCCATCAGATATTTCACAGAACTCTGTTCCTCTAAGACATCTTTTAAATCTGTAGCATTCTGAAGCTCTGGATCTGCTGTGAGCTTATATCCAACAATGCTCAGAGTGCCTCTTCACTTCCAAACTCCATCAGATTCTGGATAAATGATCCTAAAAGTCAAGTTTATCCGTGCATCTCTAGAATGATATTCCTTAGGCACTCGATGCTGTAAGAAAAACAGACACAAAACCAAAAGCATAAGCTTGTGTATTTAAAATACAGGTAATCAAACAATGTAAAAAAAAATTTATTTCCTGTGACTTTTTTTATTAAACCTAACATAAACCTAAACCTATAATACCTAAACATTTAGGTAAGGCAAAAAATTCATGTTCTGACTGTGCGGGGCCACTGAAAACAAAAGGTCTTTGAAGATTACTGCAGACTTGTTAAATTAAGTTGCAACTTTTTTATATTCCAAGTTCCTAAATTGATTTTGCTCTTTCAAGCTGCAGGCTGCAACCTTTACTGCTGAACTTTAATGCTGGAACATCTGAGCTGATTCCTATTACATCACTTAGCAGTTGAAAGAAAACCCATTGTTTCTGTGGGTGCTTTGAAATTCTGAGGCAGAAAGCAATAGTAATGTGCTGGGAAACAATTGTATCACTGGAAGCAGAATGCCCCACACCTTTATGGGAGCGCCACGTGCATATTTAGAAAACTGCACTGCAAGTAAAGCATACAGTGTCAAGGAGTTCTTACCTGCCAGTCCTCCTGGGTAGCTCCTTCCATCATCAACAGAGTCCCGTGATCAAGTGGAATTCTTAATCTTTCTACGTAAGTATAGTCTCCATTCTCTTCCTAAAAAGAAGCATTAGACACTGCGGAAGCGGGCATGTGGTTTTGGTAGAAAGTCAGGCCTCTATAGCAGAGCTTAAAAAGCTGGGAGGGGAGAGGAGGAAAGGAAGCTCTTACAAGATGAAGCAGTCTCACTAAACCTCTCTGTTACCCTACTTCATAAAGAGTTCAGGAGCTGACCCATTTTAAGGATGAAAGAAGCCATTATGTCTCACTGCCTGGACAACACAGGTAAAGTTCAACAACCAGTTCCTACATCTAATGCAAAATTCTGGAGCAGGGCTGCAAAACTTTTTTGGAAACTCTTGAAATAAACAGTTCTGTGTGGAGACATTCTGCAATAGCCACCCTGATTCCAACAGTTAACTACTACATTAAAAAATACACATCTTCCTTCTATTCTGAATCTGTCTCGTTTTGGACATTACATGTTGGTATAGTAGTATCTGCTAGATGAAGAACTTTTCCTATCCCCAAAAGATCTCCTTTTCCTGTAGCACCTTGTAAAACAAGTTTTCTTAAGCTTTATCATCATTAAGCAAAACAGACTGCTAAACCCGAAGATGAGTAATCTGCAAACTTTTGTTAAGCCTTTGGATTACGTACAACTTCTTTAGAAAAAGAGGTCGCAATTTATGTCACTTGTAACAGAAGTAGATTGCAAAGAAGCTGGAAACAGCACAGGACAACTGAGACTTGAAAAATGGAATTACGACAGTAAGATTCAACCCAGCTTGAGGCGCGGGTATAGATACCTCACACTGACAGAAGTCCCACATTTCTGAAACAGACACAAATGTTACAAGACCTCCAGACTTCAGCTGTATGCGGAGTTATCCAGGAAAACTAACAGGGCTCTGCACAGACTCGACAGTTAGAAGAAAACATTAACAGGTCATAAAAAGGCAGACATAGTCTTATGAGATCCATTAAAAAGACTTAACTGTTCTCATCCAACACATTTTACTGCTTTTACAAAACCTCACTTTTTCAAAGACCTTAACTTCCTTGAAGCTTAATTCTGCAGTGGCCCAACTTGATTCATGTTTGTCTTTTTAAAGTTCACAACTTGCTGAAAAGCTCAAAATAATGAGGTAAAGTCTCAACTACTGGGAAAATTATGCCTTGGACTTAAAACACAGTCTGATTTTCAAAAGAACTATCTTTTGAAAAGAGGGGAAGGGGGAGGGGGTAAAAAAGATGCAGACAGAAAGAAGACTGTAAATCCTCTAAAATGCAAATCCAAATGGCTGGTATAAAGTCAATTCCCAATAATAAAAAGCATCACTTGATATAATTGACTGTATATTCGCACCTTTGCCACTTCATGTCTGTTGAATGTTCACACCTGGGACTAGAAGTTGCAGTGTGACAGAACAAGGCTATTTAATTAGTGGCTTTCTATGATGGTGTGACAGCATCAGTGGACATGGGAAAACCAATGGACGTCATCTATCTGGACTTCTGCAAAGCCTTTGACACGGTCCCCCACAATATCCTTCTCTCTAAATTGGAGAGCTATAGATTTGATGGGTGGACTGTTCAGTGGATAAGGAACTGGCTGGATGGTCACATCCAGAGGGTAGTGGTCAATGGCTCAATGTCCGGATGGAGACTGGTGATGAGTGATGTCCCTCAGGGGTCTGTACTGGGACCAGTGCTGTTTAATATACTCGTCAATGACCTAGACAGCAAGATTGAGTGTACCCTCAGCAAGTCTGCAGATGACACCAAGCTGGGGGGGGGGA